AATTAATATGTAGTTTGTTGAGAATTTGCAAATCAAAAACCTGCAAAAAAAAATGATCATCATATGTTACCAAAAAATCCGGTGCCTTATGTCAGGGAGTGTACTTTTTGTGAGATTGCTCTGCGTAGGTTACTCCGGATAGTTCTTAGACCGCAAAAGATATACAATCTAAAGGTGTTCTTGTTGATAAGGTCTACAATTCCGAAAAAGGATTGTTATGTGCCTTCCTTATCATTATTATCAAGTTTCTTTATATTGCTAATAAAATATTACTGTTTAATATATATATAGAAAAGGTTGACATTTCTATTAACCAATTTTTTATTTTATTTTATTTTATACTATAGTGATCCGCTATCAATAAAGTTAGAAAACTCAAAAACGAAATAATCTGGAACTTTCAAGATATCAAACATTAATTAGTCAAAAGAAATGAAATATGCATTCTTTAATAAATAGTAAGACTTCGAAAAATTGAATAAACTCCTCATAAAAGAGAATATAAATGCATGCCAGATTATAATTATATTCATTGGGTATAATTGAGGAAGAGGTGAAATGGAACTTACTAATAAAGAAAGTGAGTGTTATTTATTTTTTATTATTTTCTATTTTTTTTAAAATTTACCATTGATAAAGGTTGTTCAAGCATTACTTTTACATTTTTTACATATCAAACATAATAAACAATTAATTCTCAACAAATTTCTGATATCTGGCAAAAAATTGACCGAATGATTGTTTGGCCGATTTGATATATTTTTGATTCGGCAGTGATTTGTGATTAGTAATGATATATATTTTTTGTGAATGTATTCTGAACGGTACTACAATGTCAACATATCCAAAATTAAGATTTTGCTGAATACATGTTCGTTCTTGTCAACCAACAAATCTTAACAAAAAAAAACATAAAAAGGGTTCTGAATATAAGATAAGCTTTCATAATAAATATATTACAAAAAGAGACTCTAATAAAAAAGTTTCAATATTAACAAGAATGAACTAAGAAAATATACCTCGATTTATAATTCCAAACGATTAAGTTTTCAATATTTGTCGAAACTGCTTTGAAAATTATAACCAATAAAATCATAATAAAACTATAAAGTATTTTATTTATTTATTTATTAAATATAAATTAATTTTTAAAATATAAACCAAAAAACAAATCAGATATTGAAACAGTTGATCTAACAACTGAGCCTTTAGTTTGTTCATTTATAGTATACATTTTAAAATGCCTGAATAGCAACTTATCTGAAGCACAAAAATAATCGATATATATTTTCTTAGTCATTAGCAAGTATGCACATTATTACGTAATCGTTAATTACCGAAATCAAAAACTTATTGAATCAGTCAAACAATCATTCGGTCAATTTTTTACTAGATGTCCCAAAATTTATGAGAACAGCTGTAATGTTCGAAGCTTTTAAAATAAATAATCGATACCTTGATATGAATGAAATAGATACGGTCCATTCTTTAACTTTAATAAATTATATCCGATCAATTGATTTAGATTCTTGAGAACAAGATGGGATTACTATTATATAATGTGCAAATGGAATTTTAATACATTCTAACTTAAGAAATTTACAATCGATCACTTTTAATAATCAAACACTAATATCAGCAGTATCTTTATTTTGTTATATGTAAAACATTGGGTATGGGTAACCAAACCCAAATGGGACACTTTGGGGTTTTACCTAATTTGGGTTCGGGAATTGGAGAGCCATCAAGGAAAGCCTGCATAATCGGTATAATGTTTAGAAAGCTCTCTGGTTCGACTTAGCAGGTTGAAACCTCAAGCAATTTTATCTGTTGAAAAACTTTGATTAGTTTTCGAAAGGCACAATTAAATCGAAGTGCCAACAGTATAATATAATAGGCCCGTTGGGCCTACCGGGCCTGGTCACAAAGCCCGGCCCGTTCCCAACCCTAGTTGGTTATCTGTGTGCCGTCTATGGTAAATCTATGTCCGATGATAGGTTTACCATAGACAGCACACAGATAACCAACTGCACACTAAATATACTTGAAAGCCCGATTGTAGGTTTTCCTTTGACGGCACTCGTATATACTTTTAACTACAGTATCTGATATATAACTTATATGTAATCTAAAGCTAGTTTATATTGGCTTATTAAAAATCATAAGCTTTATGTATATAAGTTATATACATATAAAGCATATATCAGATACAGATATTTTACTAATATTGTTGATTTCAACTAGTGTTTAGTAAAAGTCTATAGATTTATTGAATCATTACACCAAAAACTATTATGTAAGCCAAAAATTGGCTTTTTACTGTATATTTTTTATATAGTAGTATAGTATTTTAGAGGCCCTTTTTTAGAACCCTATCAAGAAGAACAGTACCGACGATCCATCAATAATGTATGTTTGCATAGCATATGTAAAATCAAAAAAAAAAAAAAAACTCATTGAATTTGGTTAAGATATCTTAAAATTTTGTGAATATAACGCCTGTACAACTGCATGATGTCATCTCACATCTCGCGCGGGATCACATGGCATTAAATATATGCTAGTACTAGTTTGTCCCGAAAAAAAGAATTGTACGTACATGAGGTTGAGTAATTTAATGTTTCTGGATCAAAATTTTGAACTCAAAGCGCCAAAAACCTGTAAAAAGAATACTATTATAGAAATGCTTGCAACTTACTAACTGCGTATAAAGATAAATGAAATCCGGTAAAAAAAAAAAAAAGTTTCCGATAAAGTTTTGAAACAATCAGAATTATACGCAGTAAATTAACATTTTATTGATATCGACATAGATATCATTTTAAATAATTTTTGGGGATTTAAGTATCATATTATAAATATATACATATTTTGGTGGCTTATACACTTACTATGAAATGCATGAATTGAGACAAGTCTAATATAAGCAAAATATTCACTTGATTAAACAAGGGGCGAAGCTAATGTAATCAAAGATCTCTTAAAACATGCTTAATTTTCGGCGGGTTGTGTCAAAGTATTACGTTACCGGTTACACCAGGCTGTGTCACCAAACTTTGTACTTTTATACGTATGAGGTAACGTTAACGCGGTATCTTCACGTGCCCATTGACTTGATGGTTATTTTGCGATCTTTTCTCGCATAATAAGACCCCTACCCTAGTTCATCTAATATCATAAAAAATTTACATTAAAAATATATATATAGGAAATGGAAGACAGCATTAATGACTTTGAGTTTGTTACTGGCAGTACTGCACACCTTACTGTCCCTGATTCGCTTGGTATTTATAACATTAATCAAGTCGAACCTTATAGCGACAATACCTCTGTGTGTCCTATCCCACCAGGCTCTCCCGCTTATTCTTCCTCTATGGCTAGTTCACCGAGAGAGTATTCTCCGAATCTTGTAAACGGTTCCCAAAATGGCTTTCCGTTTCCTTATCGTGATGATCCTGAGGAGGCTTCAACTCCTCAACTGTTATATACTTCTTTCGATGGACCCATTGACACAAATAATGGCAAATGCCCGATAGGCAATGAAGAAGATAATGATTATCATTCTAATACATCTTCAAAACGATATGCAAGAAAATTATTGATTGCCACAGTAATATCATCATTCTTTTTTTCCTTGGAACTTTTCGGTGGTTGGATTGCTGGGAGTTTGGCTCTGCTGAGTGATTCGTTTCATTTATTAAGTGGTGAGTTTCTATTCACTAAGAAACATCTTTATATCATCTTTTGATTACATCCTAACTAAACATGCTTGTAATGTCAGACATAATAAGTTTTGCTATATCACTTTTATCTATATACCTTGCCCAGAAACCTGCTACTAGATGTAAGTAATAAAATGCTCATCTTTTTTGTTATTTAATTGTTGATCCGGACAAATATCGGCTCAATTGTTGCATTAACGTAATAGTAAATTTTAGTAAATTTTGGGACAAAATTATTATGATAGTTATTATATACTGGAATCTGACAAATGGATGATTATTTTTTTACTATGCGATTGCTACTTGGAATTCTAATGAAAATTTTAGAGATTTAGAGACAACCAATACGGTTCTAATGGTGGTAAAATTGGTTAAAATTGGTTAGTAAATCACGAGATACAAAATTATAAGGTTTTTGCGATCATATGTGCAGATCTTCCGAGAAATTTATTTACCTACATCTTACGATCTATTAGTCTATTTTAGCAATTTTATCATTATTTAGAACTCACATTAACAATTGCATAGCAAGAAAAATTATTTATCATAGTCATCGTGCTGATTTTATCCGGATTAGGAATTAAAATTTTTTTTTTCAGCTTGCTTATATTAACTATGTTATACTGATTTACCTTATTTAAACCACTATAGCACACTCGTATGGCTATCATCGCGCTGAAATTTTGGGTGCTCTTGCTTCGATTCTTCTCATATGGATTCTTACCGGATATTTATGCGTTGAAGCCTATGATCGAATACAAAATCCAACAGAAGTGGATGGTCCAACAATGTGTATTATTGCTTCTATAGGTGTATTTGTTAATTTTGTGTAGGTTTCAATATTTATACTTAAAGTATTTATGTCAATTTTAATGTTAATATATACCTTATTTTTTTTTTCTTGTTTTTAGCTTGCTTTTCATTTTAGGGCACAACCACGGCCATGACCATGGTCATGGTCATGGTCATCATGATAATGTTAATGTTCGAGCAGCTGTGCTTCATGTTTTGGGCGATCTTATCTCATCATTAGGTGTTCTAATTTCATCAATAGTAATTACAATTGATTCAACTAAATCATGGGTTGATCCGTTGTGTACATTTTTCTTTTCTGCTCTCGTTATGTTTTCAACGGTTGGAATATTGCGAAGTAGCTTAAGAGTTTTAATGGAGGGTTAGTATTTTGTCACCTTCTATTGATCATGTATACTTGTGAACTAAATATTCAATTTTATTATTTATAGCTACTCCGTTACATATCGACGCAAATGCTGTAAGGAGTGACTTAGAGAATATCCCTGGTGTAAAGAGTGTTCACGATTTACACAGTATGTCCTAGTCATCCTTTGTTTTCTTATATACATACTATATATTTTTGTATATGATACTGTATTTAACTCATCTTTGTATTTTATATAGTATGGGATTTAACTGTTGGCAGAGTAAGTTTCTTTTTTCACTTTTACTTTCTTTTGACTTAAATCTATTTATTATATAATTATTCATTTGGTTGCTATTCATTGCTATACATTGCAGACAACTCTCACTGCTCATCTTCAGCTTCACCCATATGATCCTGACACTCAAGAAGAACCGTTAAGGCCCACTGATATATTAGCAAAAGCTAGGCATATGTTGAAAAAAGAATATGGTATCCTCCAGGTGACTATTCAAGTCGAATAATTTAGGTTCCATTTTTTTTCAATATTATAATGCAACATAATGGGGGGGTCGCGTTTTTCATTTAGTTATATAATTGTAACTAGTTTTATTTGTTATTACGTCATAAATAGTATACTTTTGTTACTATACTTACTACACGTATATTAATCGTAGTTTATTTCTTAATTGTACATCGTTTTCAAAATCATATAATCATGTAATATCTTTATTTAAAACAAATTATCAGATTCTTGACTAGATCTTGCGATAAATGTCCATCAAAAAAGAATAAAATAATCTCTTCTAGCAATTTCACTAACAAATTTCACCAACAACATTAATGAGTCTTTCAATTGCCTTTTTCTCAATCTGATAATGCACTACTAATCTTGCCATTGTAGATGCATTACCAAAAATTTTGATCCCATGTTCTTCCAACTTTTCCGCTAAAGCATCGGTACTACCAATTTTCGTCGTACTCGTATCAATAAATACCATATTAGTATGAACGGGATTCACGATCCGGATGCCAAGTTTTGAAAGTCCTGATGCAAGTTCACGTGCTAAAATATGCGTTTCTTTTAGTTTATTTGGATAATTTGTTTCGAGTGCGAATTTCGCCGCCGCGGCTAGTGGACCTGGTTGACGCCATCTTTTTTCGAGGGAAGTATGTTTATAAACATCGTAAGAAAAAAAAAAATTTTTTAAAATACATAAGGATTAAAAAAAAAAATTTTTAAAATACATAAGGATTAAAAAAAAAATTATTTGACTACTGTTCCTGATAAAGTTCTAAAAATGAACTCGATCCTAATTTTTTTCATATACTTCCTTCGCTATAGTTATAGTATTTAGAGGCTCTTTTTTAGAATCCTATCAGGAACGGTATTTTTGTCATAATTAGGGTTCCAAACCGGGTTGAAAATTTTCAACTGTGACCCATGGTCAAAAAATTTTTTTATCCGGATACCCGAAATTAAAACCGGATACCTGAATTAAGGCGATAATAATCAGGTGATCACTGGTGACCCAATGCTCTATTGCTTGTATGGAGCTAACCAACTTGAAGCCATGATAGGATATTTGTATCCGTTAACAGATGACCCGTTCGTTATATTACAGCTATTCTCATAAATTCTGGGGCAAATTAAAATTTTGCTCGTTTCCCGAATCTCTTCGGTTTCGTCCTATGAATCATCTAACTCTCCGGAAAATACATCGCTATCTCCGGACTGAAGTTCCGAAGACAGTGAAATAATTCCGAAGAGTTAGATGGCCTTTAGGACGAAACCGAAGAAACGATAAATTTTTAGTTTGTCCCAAAATTTATGAGAACAGCTATAAACCGGCTTGTTAAAAACATGACCGACCCTGTTGATAATTATTTCGGATCGGGTTATCAGTTATCCGGATCAGAGGTTGGATCTCTATACATAGCGATAATATTTTAAACACATATACATTAACATATAGTACTAACCCACCACCGAATAATTTCCTCAAATGCCTTGCCCTCTTTACAAAATCCATATTACCAACTATGATACTCCCAATTGGCGCGCCTAACCCTTTTGAAAAGCACAAACTCATAGAATCGAATAATTTCCCATATTGTTTCATCTCAATTCCTGTCTCAGCACTTGCATTCCATAATCGAGCACCATCCAAATGTATTCTTAGACCTCTGTTTCTTGCAAATTCAGAGATCCTATAGATTTCTTCAATCGGAAAGATCAGACCACTCAAGGTGTTTTCCAAAGAGATTACGCGTGTTGGAGCATAATGGATATTTGTATCTGGAATAATTGAGGATTGAATTTCAGAGAGAGTTATGTGTATTTTATTAATTGGGATTAAAGGAGTAACCGAAGCGCGAGAGTGGAAGGAGATACCACCGGCTTCGTAAGCGTAAACGTGAGAACGATGATCACATATAATTGAATATGGTGGATATGATAGATGTGAAAGGAGAGCTAATTGATTTGCCTTACGCGTATATTTTAATCAATATATAATTTTTTTTTCGTGATTAAAGAGATTATTTAGATTAGAATGAAATTTTGTCTATTTAAATCGCTAAAAAAAAGAGTATTTTGATACCATCGTTCCGGATACTGTAAATAAAGCAGCTTCATGTCCTGTTAGTTTTGCCACATAAGACTCCAAGTCATTGGTTGATTCATCTTCCTAAAATGATATCATATCGAATATATATAATTTTTATTAGCTTGTTATTTATCGTTATACAATAGTATAATTATAATAATTTATGAGTACATACACTATAAACATCATCGCCTTTTGAAGCTTTTACCATTGCTTCAAACATCTGCTGCGTTGGTGTTGTTACTTTTTTGTATTCAACAATTATAATTATGTAAATCAAATTCATTTTTAGAACATTGATTATTGATTTGAAATTTCACCAACCCGTATCGCTTCGAAAGTCATATACTACATTATGATCTTTAAATTGGGTTGAACCTGTTGAATGATTATAATAATAACGATAAGAGTAATAACGGGATATATCATAAGATATAGACCGATAAATTTTAGTTATTCGGCGAAGCATTCTGTTAAAGAATTCTTTTAATTTGTGTCAGGGACATGGAAATTATGTAATTTATTTAAAAATAGTATTTTATTAGTTGAGCGCAGTATTTAAAAAATTGGCTTTAATCGTCAGCAGATCGCATATTTTACATATTGATATACCGCATATTTACAAATTCATGACAAGAAAAGAAACAATGTTCGGGGACACCGAAAATTATTTATATTATTTTATTCTATATAATTTCTGCGTCCCTGAAGATGACGGAATTAAATAGATGCGGAAAGTATTACAAAATACCGCAGAATTAAAATTTTTTTTTTGTATATTCAAAAAGTTTATCGTTATCGTTATACAAAAAAAGTGTAGAATTCCGATTCGCATTTTTATTTTTGTCACAGACGGAAAAACTAGTTTTTTTACTTTGTGCTAAGCGTGAGATTTACCCAATCAAATTACATCATAATTCTAATAAATCATCATAAAAATTTTCTAAAGATAATCGCTTAGCTATATAACTCTGTTGTTCTGTTAGTTGGTTTAACATTTTCTCAAAAATGATACGAAAAAACAAAAACAGGTAAAAAAGGAATATTAGTAAATGGTTTATAATATTTAAAAGAGTTTTATTTAACATCTAATTTTGTATATACATTTTTTAATTAGTTATTCCACACCACCTGTAAGGTCTTATAATAGACGTAATTCAGCTAATGGACAAAATGGCACAACTTCTACAGAATTTAAACCAAATTCCAGAATGCAATTTGGTTTTACTTTATTGGATATTGATGGAGTTGAAAATATCAAAGATATAAGATTTCAATTTCAAGAATTTTCGACTAATGATGAAAATATTCGATTTTCCGAATTTTCAAATAGTGAGACAACAAATAGATCGTATAACTTACAAAAAAAATTTATCGTGAAAAGAGCTCCAAAACAACTTCATAATAATCAAAATGATAACGATAATGATGTTATCGATGATTTGGTAAATCAATTAAAATGTGGATTATTACTTCCATCCATAGAATACGATTCTTTCAGTACTACAGATAAACTTGAAGAATGCTTAGATGAAATTTCTCGTGAAATAAAAGCTACCAATACTATTGAATCTCGATTTTCTCTTCAAAGGAAACAAATGAGAATGTGTATCTTTTTTGGTCGCGAAGTATTTACAAGAGTCAATGATGAACATTTTGACGTTATGCATTGGGCTAGATTTAAAAGAAAAGGAGATTCCTCGCTTGCCACTACTTTCAGTCATTATCTTTTTGCCAAAATTATCGATAATATGGATCTAATTAAACAAAAATTTAAATTAAAAGAACGAGATGATAAGTCTATCGAAAATAAAAGGAGTATTAGAGTTATATATATGAATGAAGGAAAGAAGAATAAATTGAAGTTGGAATGGGATGAATACGAAGGTCAATATTAAATTTAAGATTGACTTTTATTTTGATCTAAAATTAAAATATTTAGTGATTAGGTATTTGGAAGATCACCAGAGCAGCAACAGACATCAAACGTGTTTGTAAGTTCTTTGAAATTATTAATTTATTTTTTATAAGATGATTTTGTTTTATATATATTTATATATAATTATATATTAATTTTATTATATTAGCGTGTGTTGATATCGTTTCAGGATCTGATGATCCTGATTTAAGACTTTCAGTTAAAACACAGTATGATCTTAATTGGGATCCTAAATTAGACGAAATCATGAAGAAACTGCAAGATAAACCTAAAACTAGAAATTGGAATGGACAATGGTTTAATTGCAATGATTTCTTTGATATTAGATGTGAATGCGTCCAACATAAGTTTAAAAAACAATGTTTTTAGTATGTAAATTATATTATACTTTTTTTAAGTTTTGTAGATTTTAATTTAATTATCTTTTTCTTTTTTCTTTTTTTATTTGTTTAAAAAGTAATGATAAGTTTCAGGTCACTATTGAAACAACATGTCATGATAACAAGGGCAAGATTAAGAATGAAGATTCTATTAGCGTGAAACACCTATCATGGCGAACAAATGAAAATTTTAATTTTCATAGTACTGTTTCTGAAACTTTTGATTTCGCCAAAGAAATAATTAGATTTGTTAGATGATCTATTTTATTTTTTGATATTTGCGTGAATTATATTTTTTGATATGCGTGAATTATATTTTGATATTAGTTATGAAAGATTTATTATCTTTGCTCATGTTAAACTTATTGTAGATATTTTTTGATATTTGCGTGAACTATATTTTGATATTAGTTATGAAAGATCTATTATCTTAGCTCATGTTAAAACTTATTGTAGATATTTTCTAATCATACAAATTATGTCTAATAAATTAGTGGAAATTTTCTCACCATGCTGCTTCATAATATAATTAAGAATTGTTTCGTAAGTGCTTCTATGTATACTGAAAATTGCTTTGTAAAATGTTAATAAGTTGATAAGTTAAAGTTGAGAGATTCAAGTTTTAAGTTTAATAACATGATTCTGAAACATTTTATTTACCCAAGTAATCTAAGAATATCCAGTTAGCGATTTTCTCATTTCGTGTTAGGAATAATTTTAAAAATAATAATATTAAACCTTTTAAATGCAATTGATAAATAAAACTTGGACTCAAAATATGAAAATAACAAGTATTGGTGTTATTTTAAAAATTAGTTTCTTTAAATTAGCAAACTTTGGTTCGAAAAGCCCTCGAAATAACACGTATAAGTGATGTCAAGGAAACCTAGGGTTCAGGACACAACTTTAGCTTAAAGGCATACACCTCAAAATTTTTCATGAGTTATAAATTTTTTAGTAAAAGGCCCAAAACCTCTGTGCCCTGTTCCCTAAGGAAACCCCTGAAATTTTTATAAGATTTCTGAATTTTTCTTAATAATCAGGTCTAGAAATTGACACTCTCGCCTCGGAATAAAACACATACCGTATTTTCGCTCACCTGCGCGTTATTTCGAGTACGCGTATGAGCGTTATTTTGCGACAATTAAAATATTTTAATTCTTTGTATAAAAAGTAAACAAACAAAAAATGCTTTGGAACTAAATTTCGTACTAAATACACTTTCTTTCGAACTTTAACAAAAGTTGTTCTGAAGAACAATTTTTGTTAAAGCTCGAAGGTTTACTTAGTACTAAATCCAGTTTCGAAGAATTTTTTTAAACCTTACTATGGGATGTACGCTATTTTGGGACGCGTATGGGCGTTATTTTGAAACCATATATATTATTTTTAGGGGCACGATTTTCGAAGAGCGTTATTACGTGAAAATACGGTAAGTGTACTCAAATAAGCGCAGGTAACGAAATAATGCAAAGATACGCGTTACTTCGAGATTTTGCAGTTCTTGCATAAATTTTTATTCAAACTAAATATAGGCTTAAAAAATTAAGAAAACGGATGCAGATATTCTAATATTAATTTGCTGATAAAAAAAGTATTTATAACTTTCAAATTTTAAAAATTAACCATTAAAAAAAATATACAATTATTATTCTAAGAGTGAAATGACTTAGTATACATTTTACATACATAACTTGCGCGAGACTATATCACGTGACTCATGCAATAAGAATTTATTTAGAGAATGTTAAGAATTTTTTTTTCTACACCTCACAGGTTAATGATCCGTGCCTCTTTTTAATTTGTATTTACTTCTTATGATCATTAAATCATTTAATCGACTAATTTATCTTATGCGAATTAAGTGCGATAATTTCGTCATTCTATGCGAGACACATAACGCAATTGCATTTTCTTGAATGTATTCGATGATATATATGATATGCACATAAATATTTATATATATATAATCTAGGAATGACAACCACAAAAATTTTTTATTAAGATATAGTTCTAAAAATAACCTATACATTCCAACCAATTATTTGATATATTAGATATATACTGTGTATATTTCGTCTAAGATTAATTAATAAATCATTCACTGTTCATTAACCCAAGTTTCCTATATAAAAAAATATATAGTCAGTATAATCAATATAACAATAACGATAATAGAAGTGATAAAGAAATAAAATAAAAGGAGATACTACATTACCATTGTTCATATTGAATTTTTATTTTGCTTTTGGTATTATCAGCTTGAGACGGATTTATGAGATTATATTGTGAATTTATATAATCTATTATAGTTATATAAACAATAATGATGAATAAATTGAAAATTTCTTTACAAGCCACCGTGACTAATTTTATATTTGGAATTACCTTCAACTTCTTCTCGTCTCATCTTATTTTCCAAGTTTTGTGCAAGAGCCATCGTGGGAATCAATCTACTGGTATAAACTGCATCTCTATGCCTATTAAACTCTCCAGTCTCAAACATTCCGTCATTGTTCGCATCCATCATTCTAATTCTCTCATTTTCAGCATCTCTAAAATCTCTTATAGTTTCCAAATCAACTCGATCACCGATAATATTAGTACATGTCAAAGCATACCACTTGTCTAATATTACTTTCAAATCATTGGAAGTTGGTCGCTTCGCAGGATCAGCATCCCAACACTGATTCATTAATGTAACCCAACATTTAGGATGTTTAATATTGGTTAACGAAGGACGAAGATTATTTGATGCGACACATGAAATTAAAGAGAGTGTATGCGGAGTATCATGAAATGGTTGTTTGAGAGTTAATAATTCGTACATTATCATTCCGAATGAATAAATGTCCGAAGCAGAAGTGTATGAACCTCCATTTAATACTTCTGGTGCTATATATGGTATTACACCATATATATATTCATTATTATTACTACTATTAAAACTATCACCACTACTACTTCTACCAAAGCTCGAAGATTCTCGATCACTTTGATCACTTTGGTCACTTTGATCACTTTGTTTATTACTTACTACACGACTTAATCCAAAATCAGAAATCATTGGATATTTTTTTCCCATTAGGATATTACCACTATGAAAATCACCATGTATTAAACCAGCATTATGAATTGTTTCGAGACCTTGAAGGATTTTTAATAAGAAACTAACACGAGTTGGCCAATCTATGCTTAAATGATGATTTCTTAGGTAATTTCGAAGACCACCATTTTCGGCAAATGACATTACCATTATGAATTCGTTTGTTTTTGGATCCCTGCTTATGCCAAAACAGTGAGCCACTTCGAAAGAGACTTTTAAATGAGTGATCGAGTGTAATGATTTCAACTAAAAAGTAAAAATATGAACAAATGTGATAGAAATTTTAGAGAGTTAGAACGTATAGAAACATTTTTTTTTAAAAAAAAAATTCAAGAATTCAGCATATACCTCGTTCAAAAAATCATCAGAAGTACTCTCTGTTTTTTTCACTTTTTTTAAAGCAACAGCATGCTCTCCTCTTCGTTTCCAATCATTCAGATCCGCATCCCAATTATAAATTTGCCCATCTTCCCAGACCGCATAAAATACTTCACCTAACCCACCCTGAGCCACAAATTTAATATCCTTAAACTTTTCAAAAGGTATCCATTCCATTATTTGTTCACTGCATTCGGCTTGTAACTGAGATTCTTGAATTAATTGATCTAATGAAGGGTTACCACTGGACCAGTTTGGAAAATTATCACGAAAATGAGAGGCATTACAATTTTGACACCAATTCCAATATGATGTCATAGTTGGTTTGTTACATTCGGAACAGACTTTACCCTTGACTTTTTTCTTAGAACGGCGGAGTTTACTGACTTTTAGACCCATTTTTAATATTAAAAGTGTTTTAATATGTTTTTGATAACGCGTTAATATTGTATTGTTCGATGGGTGCGGTTTTTAATAAAATATAGTTTTTTCTTTGCAAGTATTATAAGTGTTTGAAAACCTAAAATACTTATAAACTTTAAAGTTAGATTAATTGTAACAAATTTAAAACTCGAGGTTGCACTTAAATTTGTTTGTTTTAAGAATTAAAGAAACACACATTAACGTTAATTATTATACTATATATAAAACTCTATATATACTATATATTATTTATAAGTATTGTAGACGCTATCAAAGCTGCCTTTTTTTCTAAAAAAAAAATTATTTTTTTTTCACAAATTATCAAAATTGTGAATATAAAAATTGGAAGAAAAGTAACCTTCAAAAAATATATCTTAATAAGAAAAACAATGTTAATAAAAGGTTTTTTGGATAAGAAAATTTTATGTATATTCTAGTATTTGTACGTATTTGTACGCACAAACAAATGTAAAAAAGGTGACTACTAATTTTTTATTTGTAAGCCAAAAATATTTTTATTGTTTCTAAGATATGCAAAAATAAAAAAATAATGCATTATTCTCTTGTGTTTTTTGCAGAGAAAGTCGTACATCAAAAAAACATTAAGTATGTGTTATCGTTACACCCCTTCTGCTTCAACTCACTTACAGGGTTTTTCCTATTACCGTAATATATACCGTAATATATACCGTAATAGTAAGGGTTAACAGAATGAAGAAATTAGAAATGGCTTTTCTTATTTTTTTTTTTGAAGGAAAAAAGTTCAAAAATGTTGTAAATAAAAAAAAACTTTTTTTATACATTAATAATATTTACATAATTTATATATCGCCTAATTCGTTAAATAATTCCCAATTTGCGGAATCATGCTACCGGATGCTCTTCTTCACCAGTGTCTTTATGAAGATCGGCAATACATAACTTTGTACACAATAAACTCCTTTCCATACGAGGAAATCTTTTGAGTTTCTCAAAAAAATATGTATCAGGCCAAATTAGATTTAAGACAGATCGTAACCAAACTTTGACCTATGAATTAAAAATGATCGTGCTTCTCTAATATACATTAGGAAATGTTAAATAATCCAAATGCAAAATCAGTGGTAATAATACCATATAATGCTTATTTTTTTTTTCGACATATTATTACTTAACATATGAAATTGTAACACTAGATCGAGCATAAATTTGCCAAAGTTCCTTATTATTGGTGCTCTAAACTCAAATAATTTCCAAATTTCACACAAAATTTACTAATTAAGATATAGCTCACATAAAAATGCTTGCATAATAATTTTACTATATTTACTGTTAACTTATTAGTGCCATTCCAACTTACTGAGGAAATTTGGGGATCTTGTAAGCTCGTTGTTTGAACATTATTTGATATATCATTGACAAAATTACTGATAAATGATACGTATGTACGTACGTACAAAATAATTTAATTAATATCAGATATATTGTAAATAACTAAATTTGTAAAGCTATATATATGTTTATATTATATTCTATAATGTTTAAACTATTTCATTTTTTAGGCCTTTGGCTTAGTTTTAATATACGATCTGTTAAAAAAATACTTGGCGCCATCTTTAACTCTAACGTATACATGGGTGCCTAAATTGCCCATCTTAATAAAAAATCAATTACGGCATTTAGGCAGCCAAAATTAGTCTTATATAGTGTGAAATTAAT